CATGTAGTGTCCATCCACCTTCCACCTGTCCATCTATCCACCCATCCATCCCTGCCTCCACCCACCCACCCATCCATCCACCTGTCTACCCTTGCCTCCATCCCTGCTCCATTCATCCAACTATCCACCCAGCCACCTGTCCATCCAGACACTCTTTCTTGGTACCCATGTGGCTTTGGTCAGCAGGCCAGTATGTTTCCTCTTCCCGAACCAAAGCACTTCTCACTCCCCTGACAATTTGGTGGCTGCCATGATGACCATAAGCAATCACATTATGTTGAAGACATCCTGGTCAAACAAACTTCTGCGCAGGGAGATGGTGTCCCAATGGGTTTGAAAAGTGATACGTATTCTTTCAGTGCAACTTCTCTGAGCCTGTGTTTGAACCCTGGCTTTGCAGGCTGGTTAACCGTTCGGAATCTTGGCCACCTTAGAATGAGCACTGATAGTACCCATCTCACGGGGACAGGGGAGGAAGACAAGAGAAGCAGTAGCATGATGCCCTGATGCTAGACTCCACCCATGCTAACGGTGGCTGTTGCTATTGCTATTATTATTAACTAGAGGCCTGGTGCATGAAATTTGTGTATTGGGTGGGGGTGGGGGGAATCCCCTCAGCCCAGTCTGCACCCTCTTTGATCTGGGACCCCTCGGGGGATGTGCGACTGCTAGTTTAGGTTCAGTTCTCTAAACTGGCAGTTGGACATCCCTCTCTTAATCCTGGACTGTTGGCTCCTAACTGCTCATCTGCCTGCCTGCCTGGTCACCCCTAACTGCCCTCCCTGCTGGCCTGATCGCCCATTCACTACCTCTGCATGCCAGCCTGATTGCCCCTAACTGCCCCACCCCCCTGCCGGCCAGGTCACCTCCAACTGCCCCCTCCCTGCCAGCCTGGTTGTTCCTAACTGCCCCCCCACCACCACCAGCCTAGTCACCCCTTACTGCTCCTCCCTGCCAGCCTGGTTGCCCCTAACACCTCCCCATGCCGGTCTGGTCGCCCCCAGGTTAAGTGAGGACTCGCTGCCCCTTATGGGGTATAACGGTGCAAATGCATGGATGCAAGTGCCTGCGGCACCAGGATCAGCCAGGATGCCTCTTCTTCCAGAACCAAAGCACCCTGTCATTGCAGAATCAGGACCCCGATCTGTGGGGCCACCCCACCTCCCTGCAGCAGGCCGAACTCTCACCTGAGCCAAACACACAGGGCGGCTCCATGTCCCCAAATACAAGAGGGCATCACGCCTCCATTCACCCCAGTGAGGAGCCGCAGGCCCCCCAGGGTCCTGCCTGAGACCTCTCATCGCTTCCACACCCAGGTGCCGCGCTCTCTTCCCAGGCAGCTCATTTTAGAACGGGTGTTCGATGCCTCGTGTCTCTGGCGGGTTTGAGGCGGTCGCTCTGGGGTGTGTTTTTCTTCTCCCTCTCGGTGTTGGAAGGGGGTGGCAGAGAGTTGAAAATAACCTCTTTAAAACGGTGACATTTGCTTGATCACGTTGACATTTTTACGGTGGCACAGCCCGGCTGAGCGAAATAGAACCCATTCTTCTCACGGATCCGCCCTCTCTGCCCCCGCCTGCGCCCACCCCCACGGGTTTCGTTGACACGGGGCGGGGTTATCTGCATAGAAAACACAGGTGGGTTGCACACCCTGAATTTGGACGCTGCTGTTCACGTTAAACTTGAGACAAACTGTACTTTTCCGACCCGTCACCCACTGAGTCACACTGGGCACTTCTCCCCCAGCCGGCCAACAGTGGCACCAGTTTGACTAGAAAGAGAGCCAAACCTAAAATATCCCAACGAACATGTCCTCCAGGAGGAGGCTGATCTGGGTCCGCTGGAGAGAGAGTTCGTATCAGGGCACCGATGTCCCTTCCCTGCATTCTTAGAGCTGGTTTGAAGTGCATGGGGCGGGGTGTGTGTGTGTGTGTGTGTGTGTGTGTGCGCGCGCGTGTGTGCTGGGGCACGTTTGCAAAAGCAAAGTGTCGCAGGAGGGAAGGGAGGTAAATGATCAGGCCTCCGCTGAACTTGAGCCTCTGCTTTGCTACTGACAGGTACGTTTGGCTATTGCCCGCTGCGACCTGGTCCCCCTGGGAGCCTCGGCCCTGCTGGCTCAGCCCTCAGGAAGCCCTGGAGCGGTGGGAAAGACACTTTAGAAGCAGAAGACCTCGAAGTGCGTTTGTCTCAGGACAACTGCTGTTCCTTCCGGGCTCAGGAGCACTCTGAGGTCCAAGGTGAACAAGAGCCCAAGTTAAATCTGGCAAAACGGGGCCCAATTCCCCAGTGTGGCGCTTTCTGGTGAAAGTGTGGAATGCGGTGCCACACAGAAATGCTGACACAGCGCAGCACGCTGCAGCCCACAATGACTGAACCACAACGAAGACACAGCTTTCAACTCCCAGGGCACACCTGTGACCTTAGGACCCGGGAGGAACTGCAAGTCCAGGGAGGCGTTCACCAGGGGCCTCTGGAAGCTTGGAGATCCAGACTCTCCATCCACCTCCCCGACACTGACCTCCCCTCAAACATCTGCTCCCTCACTGTTACTGGACAGCTGGCCTGAAGCAGATCGTGGGCTGAGGCCTCTCCCATGATCTTCTCATGGGAGAGGCCTCAGCCCCCTGTGTGGGGCAGCATGGGAACTGACGCTCGTGGGCCCACGTGGCTGTGCGAGCTCACCAGCAGTGCTCACGTGACCGGGCATCGTTCCTGACCGGCGGCATCTGTCATGGCCCAGGAATAAATATATTCTTAATATTTATAAAACGTTATCTTCCCAACCATGGAAGCATAACCTACTTAGGTTGAAAATAAATAAGTATATTAAAAGAAAGCTGAGTTAAAAGTTTTATTCATTCAACATCTCACATTACAAATATTTAAAAATTATATGCATACTGGTATAAATAGTCATTTGCAAACTATTTAATAACATTAATTTTTCCACTAGCACTTCAACAAATGAACTCTTTTTAAAAAGGAACTGTGTTATATAACTTAAAAGTAGAACATACAAAAATAGGAACTTAACGTGAAAATGACTTTAATAAAAAATGAATTACCCTTATTTAAAATGCTATAATAAATACTACAACCTCCCCATACACAGTAAAAACTATATGGAAATTCAGCCAAGTAGTACAATTAACTGACATACTTAAATAACTTTTCCTTCTGATAATATGAGCAATACACTGGGGAAAAAAAAAACATTAGGGATTAGTAAAAACTAGACACCCACTTGCTAAAAGTTTCACTTCCAAAAAATATAACAAAAATCTGATGAAAATTATAAAAACTAATTATACTTTAAATTTTTAAAAATATAAAAAATAAAACAGTTGAATACAATATTGTCCCAATTCTTACAATGCTATCATCACAGTAGCTTTAAAATAAGATAATAAAATAAAGCAAATGACCAAAACCTCTTTTATTCCATTTTTAAAAATAATCTCAAATTTACATTAGTAGAAAGATTGATTTCTGATTCTTTTCTTTAGAAACACCAACAAGAAAGAGGATTACTCTTAACAGTAGAAAATGACATTTTTAAATGTCTGCAATTAAAAACAAAGAATTACACTGCAAAGATCTCTCAAAAGTTTGAAATAAGTATTGCACATAACTTGAAGTTAACTTGCCACAATTCATCACATTCAAGTTTCAAATCACCTTTTAACAGAAGATTCAACTCTTCAAAACAAAAGGGGTGAGTTATCAAGTCTTTCCAACAGCACTCTCATCAAATGCTAAATTCACTCACTGCAAGTTTTCTTTTGCATTCTGCAGAGTCTGTGTATGGAGAAGTAAAGATATTATGCCAAAGCGTGGGGACCCGGAGGGGGAGGGAGAGGCTCCTTTACATAGAAAATAATCAGAAACACTTTATTTTACATTGCAAAAATAACCATGTAATTACTCTGTAACTACATTGTAAGTACATGGCTGGTGCCATGCTAGTGCGCGAGAACTACATGCTTGGTAAATTGAAGTGATACCCTAAAATCTGTAAACTAATTACATGTTAATTATGTTTTGAGTTACATGGTAACTCCCAACTACAATCCCATGTAATCTGAAGGACATGTAATCGATAAAGTTCAGAGTAATAGATAATAATTGTTTATGCCCTGTAAATTGAAGTGTAACCAAATAATCTGTAAACACACTTGTCACACAATCACAAGTAAATATTAGTAGAATAGCGATTTCTTACCTTAGTCATGCATACTAACATTACACACCTGTCCCACGGCAGGCTGGTTTTTTTCCTTTATATATGATTTAAAAGAGCAGACATCTCTGAATCAAACACTTAACATCAATTTATTAATATTAAAAATGGCTAAACGGTCACCAAAAAATGTCTGCGTTATGAATAATTTTAAAAACTTAGTAAGAAGCTGTAGACAATTTTGTCATTTTAAATTTCTACCCTATGCTTATGCATTTAATTTTTTTCTTTTTTTAGGAACTACAGTGTTATCTGTCATTTTCATGCGGATTTTCTTCATTAATTTGTGACTTCACATAGACTATCTCTTAAATTCTAGGTCCACCAACAGCTGGTGCTGGGAAGGATGTTTAAGCAACATGCTTTCTCTTTTCTGCAGACTCTAAAATAGCATTGCCAGTGCACAACATCCATAATTCAAAATGTATGCAGAGCACTGAAATGTATAAAAAGCAGAATATAAGAAAATAAAATTTATTAAAATTATTTATATTAAAAAATGAAGTATATGAAGATCTCTCAGTAATAAAAGTACAAAAAGCTACTCTTTGCAATATGAAAAATTGAGGTATTGCATAAAGAGATATCCCGTCAGTGAAAAGTGTGCCTAAAAATGTTCACTGTTGGAAAAACAAGATATACAAAAGTAGTGCATAACAAATATACATTATGTGCATGACAAAATAAGTTAGCTACAAAAACACTGTACCGAAATTCAGCAGGTCATGTACAAAGGGAAAAAATTATTATTCAAAGCTAGTTCTCAAACAGTGTTATTTCTTGTTAACTCATCACACCTGTGGACTGAGTAGGAACAGCACAGTAGCACACCCCGACGCCTACGAGCGTGGAAAAGAAGAAAAAGAGGCAAATGAACATTCCGCTCAGGATTATGTAGTTCAGGAGGAAAGAAAGTCCCTGACCAGCTGCACGAGAGCACCCTCCGCCCGCGGGGCTGCCTCCAGCCCCCGCAGGGGCCCGGAGAGCAGCGCCCCCTCGTGTTGGACTGCCAGACAGCAGATGCGTCCGTTCTGACTGTGGAGCCTGTGTGACAGTGAAGGGCTGCTTTTCCTAGAGACAATCGGTAGGGGGCATCAGCCAGGTGGTTCCACCCTAGTGTGGGGCAAGTCTTTGGTTTTGAAGGATCCGAGATGGTACTGTTAGGTAGCACAACTAGCAAGATTGCCATTATGTTTTTTGTTGTGTTTTTTTTTTTTTTTTTTTGAAAACGTTTGCACACGGATGATAATCTTTTAATGGTGGCTAGGGCATTTCATAAGATAAAAGTCAATTAAAATCAAAGTTGCTTCCGAGAGCAGGGCTTCAAGAGACTACGTTAAATCCCCCCTAAAGCATACTGTCCACACGTAAGAATGCCTTTCGGAGCTAGGATCTTATTTATAATAAAGCATGCATTACTCAACGAAGTTGGCACTTCAAACACTGACTATGTCCCATGCTCAGTTCTGAAACTGTAACGGTATTTTATTTTATAGGAAGAGGAAGATAAACATACGGACCTTCGCAGATTTACACAGTTACTTAGTTCAACAGTGCAGAACACTTTGCAATTACTCAACTTTTTTTTTTTTTTTTGACTTTTTTTTTTTTCTTTCATTTTCTATGTTACAACTAAATTACAGGATACCCAGAGTAACTTTAAATTGAAAAGTAAGCCAATCAGCAGCCAATTAGTGTATCGATTTTGTCTTCCAGTTTTGGCTACTAGTGTATTTGAACACAAAATCAAAAGGACATCCTTGAGGTAATGTCAAAATGGAGAGCAAAAGGCTGACACCTGATGAGTGTGCGTAAATTAGGATGGAGTTCAGACAGAACATGGAAAATAAAATGCAGATACTTATCCTTCGGGAGAAGAAATGCTACTTTTCCACCAGTTGTCCTTAACGCTAGCTTTGGTAGGTTCCCCAGGGCTGTGACCAGGTAAGTAGGTGTAAGAATAAATAAGTGCACTCCCCGCAGTAGTCAATTTCCCCAATTTTTACATTCTACACGTTCACCATTGTTGAAAAGAAAGAAGCCCAGTTCTGCCTACTTGACTGCTTCGGATGTGGAAGTGACCGAGGCAGAATGAAATCCTAGTGGGCCTCTGACCCCTTGCAGTGAGAGAGAGGCTGCTTCGGTCTTGCTCATGCATCTGCGTTCGCTTTAGCATGCTATTTCCTGTTAGTGATTGTTAACTTCCTCCCCTGCCTGTGAGAGAAGAGAAAGGGGATGGAAACAGAAAGAGGCAACGAGACGAAAGGAAAGAAAGAAAAAGGCAGAAGCGTTTCCCGGGAGATAAACTGTGTCAGGATAGGCTAATAGTGTTATTGTTGCATGGTTATTTTAATAAAGGTATTCTTATATGTTATATTATTAACAATAATTTAATTAAAAGCCCAAAATACTCTATCATTTCATTTCTCTCTCACTCTCTCTCTCTCTCTCTCCTCTGAGAACATGCTGCGGGAAGGATGGATCCGCTTGCTCTCTAGCAAGAGAATAAAACCTCCAGGCGGCACGATGGCGAGAGGAGAAAGGAGTGCATACGTATTGTTTCCAGTGACACAAGAATCTACAGAACACTTCTACGATAGGCCATTGCTTCATTAGACTACTGTTAGTTAGACTGCTACAGAGGGCATGCCGGCGGGCGTGAGGAGGCGGAGGAGGGCAGAGAGGACAGGAGAGGGCGCCATGCCGGGGCCTGCAGGGGAGCACGGGCTCTCCTCTAGTTCCAGCGGAATGAGATGTGCCGGGGCCGGTCCCCGCCCTCCTTCACCAGCGGCTTGTGGAACTCCCTGCCGGCGCGAGAATGGATAGCGGCCCAGCAATATTCACAGTAATACTGCAGGCAGGTGACGTTCGCGCAGAAAAACGGGGCGAACTTGCCCCCGCAGCGGGCGCCCTGACACTCGTCACACAGCTGGTCATCCAGGACGTATGGCTTCACTTCCACCTGCAACCAGAGGGGGCGGGGTTACGTTTCCGCGGCTGTGCCAGCCTCTCCTCCTCACCGCGCCCGCATTCCCATCGCCTCTGACCCGCTCTGTGCCCAGGGCCCAGATTCTCTCACTGAAATTCAGGGAGTCCATCTTTTGAGAGCCCGTCAGGTTTTTACAGCCAGCATTTTACATGTTTCATATTAAATCAACACCTTTCAAAGGCAAAAGGAATGCCACGGGAATCAAGCGAAGGCAGCTGAGCATCGTGAAATGAACCCCCGGGAGAATTCTCACAGACACACACGGCATTTTAATGAGCGGGTGTGGCTGTTCGTTATATGTGGAATTAGACTTTAAACAAACCCAACTAAGAGCTGCCCGCTCCACAAAACAGCCCTTCACTAGTCACACCCTGACTTCCGTGGCGGCTTCTGACAGCGCTCAGGCCCGGCTGCGGCTTCTGTTCCCGGCGCACACATCTGAGGAGAATTGCAAACTGCTACTCCGGGGACCCGCACGCAGCTCCCTCCCTCGCAGGCCCAGCTCCTCCAGTCAGCAGGGAGGTTACTTGAGGCCAGAAGCCAAAGGTGCGTTGAGGAACTGGGCCTGCTCCAGTGTCCAGCAGGCCGCCTGTCATTGGAGCCCCTCCCGTATTAAAAATAACCTGATATTAACTCGCCAGGGGGAATGGCATGGTTGTTTTAAGTCTTGGTCTCATGGCTGAAACTCCCTTATGCCAGATTGCCGTTGACACCGGCGCCATCCAGTTCTGACAAAGCGGCGCTGGACCAACAGGGGAAGGTGACAGGGGAGACGGGGCCGGCACTGGGAGGCCGCTCCAGAACTCTCCAGAGGGCAAGAGTTCCGCTGGGAGCACTGGTCAGAGGAGTGAAAATTAAGTCTCAGTTTCTAATGAGTGACCTCACGGCTCTGACGCCTGTGTTGGAACGAGGCAGCGGAGCCAGAGACCGTTTACTCAGACGTGCTCAGTGCGAATCAAACGCAGGAGCCATGTCCGTGTCCACTGTGGCTAACACTGCACCTCCCTCCATCTCACTCAGACTCTGCACCTTCTCTGCAAGTGGCTCACATGACGGCATATGACCTCAGCCAGTACTGCCCTGACACAGAACACACACGACATGAGGCACGGGCAGTTTGTGCAAACCACTTCTGCCTGCCTGGTGGATCCCGCACGCCGACTCGAGAGTGCTGGGCATCGCAGCCAGGCCGGAAGGTCCGTCTGCCCCGGAACGAGGAGCCCTTATGAATGCCAATCAGCTCTTTGTTTCCTCCTCATCCACAGGGTCTGACTATGAGAACGGCAGCTGAACTCAGCACGGCTCCCGGTGCGGCTGCCTCACACCCTGTGCACACCCTTATCTCAGCTCAAACTGGGACAGACCGGGTGCCCACTGCCTCGGCACAGGCCACCCTATCTACCAGACCATGACCTCCGAGGACAGGGACATCTGGTCCTTGGCACGACTCCATTTGTTGAAGGCATGGAATACAGAGATAAGGAATGAATCTGCGAGTCAAGGAAGTGAGATACGTAATGGAACGTTTCCAATCCATGAAGAAGCAGAGGGAAAAGCTGTCTCCAGCCCTTCGATTCAGAAGAGAAGCCCCACAGAGAGGAATGTGAGGTGCTGAACACAACGCTGACCGCTCCTGCCTCGCTCCGGGCAGGACAGGCCACAGATGAGAAGGCTGTGCCTTCTTCTGCTTAATCTGTCATAATGAAATATCTCTAACGCATGCAGACCTAGAAGTAAACTTAACCATTTGTCACCCAGCGCACTGGAAAACAGGGCTCACTGAGGTCTTTCCAACGTCCCAGGATGAAACAAAACACGTCAGGAGACCTCAGGGACATTCATGTTCGTATACTTGCTAAAACACAGTGTGAAGGATTTGGTAAATATTGACTGACTGACTGACTGACTGACTGACTGAAGAAATGAATGCATGGATGTAGGTGACAGCTTAGGAAAAATTGAATTGACAAGTAAACTGATACAGGGTTCTGGGTAGGCGACTCAAACAAGGATACAGAGCAATTCCTAGGAAATTCCTGCATGTGTACATACACCTAGAGGCCCTACAGTCATACCTGTCAGCTGCCAGTTTATGGTCACATAAAATCCCCCTGTCAATCTTGGTAGTGACACATGTAGAAGGCTGCTTCTGGAACTTTCCAGCATGTAGTCTGGGACTTACCCGTTTGTCTATCTCCCCGTGCTGCAGCTGCACAAAGCGGGCGCTGATGGCAGCTATGTAGCTCTGCTGATTGGAGAAGGCCACCCGCCCGGCGCCCTTCGGGTACTTGAGCTCGGGGTCCGTGTCGATCCCCGCGTAGCACACGCCTCCGTACAGCCGGTCCATGATCATGGCGAGCTCCACTGAGTGAGAAAGACGCAGAGAGGGGTCTGACGTCAGGCAAACGCAGCTGGCTCAACAAAGGTTTCATCAAGAGCAGCTCATCTGCATTCTGAGCTCATGTCATTATAATAATTATTCACATCAAGCATTATCATAACTAGTCCATTTATCTTTTAACTAAGGGCCCGGGCTCTGCTAGGTACTTTACTTATGTTCTTTTTTAATCTCCACAGCAACCCTATGAAGCAGGCAGGAACTTCTTAGGGAAACTGAGGCACGGAGAAGGTGATCCACCAGTCCAAGGTCACAGGAGGTTGAGTGACACTGCTGGGCTTAGCACCCTGGTCTATATCACGTTGCTGCCATATAGTCACCAGTTAACAAGGTCTGGCTTAGTATAAATAATCATTTCAACACTAGAAAACTGATTTGGTAAGTTCTTTATTTAGAGGCCCTTCTGGCTTTTTCCATCAAAATCTTGTGACCTTTCCCCACAGGCTAGCTGTTTGCCAATTTCTCTTATTAAAAACTTGAAATAACGAATGTATCACTTCCTCCATTATATGTTACAGTTCTGAAACTGCATTCCTGTTCATTTTCTCATCTTTATCGCGCTTACACTACCCAACCTCAAATGCATTGAGGGGGATGAACTTTCTCCTGTTAGTACTATGCTAAAAACACCATACACTGCCGAGGACTGTATTACATTTCAGAGCCCAGCAGCAGCTGATAAGCAAACGGGGACATGGGAACCAAACACTAACCATCGCAATCCAGCATCTGCTCTTGAAGGCGTTATTTCGCGATGATGATGAGATGATGTCACGGGCATTATAAGAAACTGCACTAAGCATCCTGCATTGGCTATCTCACTTAAGCCTCAAAACAGTGCTATGTAAAGCACATACATACACTTACTGCTCCATCTGACAGGTGAGGGCATTGAGAAATAGAGAAATTAAGCCACTGTCCAAGGTCACTCAACTATGAATTGAGAGCAGAGCACATGAATTTTGATTCCAGAACTCTCACTCTTGGACATTAACGCAAATGCTTGTGGGGGAATTTATCCTGAGAAAGCTTTATAAAATAGTCTATGCTACAGGGTGAGGAAGGGCTTTCTGTTTATCATACCTGCCCGCAACGGTCGAGGGACACCACCGACGAATATAGTTTTTCGTGGGTCCAGAGGCTGCGAACCATCCATCACGAAGTCACTGTCACTGAGGTTCCAAGGCCGGATCTGCACCTGGGGGGGGGGGGGGGGGGAGCAAACCCACATGTCTCTTTCTCGGTACAGACAATTCGTGGGGGGAAATGTTTAAAATGGTTGTAGAGTACTTTATATTTTTAAAACAAGAATTCACATCATTAAAAGCAATAAAGCTGTAAAACTAGAAAAGATTAAAAAATAGTGTATCCTAACCCTTCATTTCACTTTTTTAAGAGTGACCTGAACAAGGGTGAACATTTCATTGCCTGTTAGAAGCTAAATCTATTATTCAGAGGAAACTCGGCTACTTTATCAAATGCATTATCAAGTGAAGTCTTTTAATAGCAAAGATTTACCAATATTTTAATTACTCAAAAGTTCCATGGCCAGATAATACGCACACGCATACAGAATGTCAATGTTGGGAGCTTAACAACATTAACACACTCTATGCCCAGTCTACTTACGAATGTGGGTTTTCAAACAGAGCAGAGATGGAGGCAAACCCAGAGCTATCCCACGCGGCTGCACTTACTGGCTTGTCTTTGATGGTGGGGCTGGAGACACACAGATAGAGCTTCCCGTCTTCTTCAATACACGCATCAATGAGAGCCTGGACGGAGCTCTCATCTTGAAACAGCAGGAATGCATAGCCTGGTGCGAAGGAGGGAAAAGACTTAGATATTCTCCTAATTTTTCTCCCCAATTCTTCAAGAGAAAGGAAATATAAACTAAAACTAATGAAGGGAAGAGGAGTTCAATTTCTTTTGAAGTAAAACAATATCCTTACCTAAAGTCTGATAATATCAACATTAAGTTCAGTCTGATATCTTGAAACATCTTTTAGAGTAAAATTAAATTTGAATTGAAAGTACAAATTAGGTAGAAATTTTAAAGATGCATTTGGGAAAATAGGAGGTTAACAATGGGAGACTCTACCCTGAAGGTAAACATTTACGAAGATGCTAATCATTAAACAATAAAAGGATAAATGTACCTGCGTACGGAATATTGAGAATTACCTTTCGGAGGAAAATAGGATTTGCTCTCTGCCTTATGGGGCCAATCCACAATTAAAGGGCCAAAGCGACGGAAACTAGCTGTGATCTCATCTAAAAACAACAAAGCAAAATAGTAGATTTCAATATTTTTGTGATCATTTTTGGGAATTAGTTTAGAAAAAAACAGTTTCAAATCTCCTATTTACAGAGCAGTACAACCCCCCCCCAAAAACAAAAACAAAAACAAAACAACAAAAACAACTCTGCATCCCTTCATCTAGACTCCCCAGCTGCTCATATTGTGCACATTGGCCTCTTCCCTTCCTCCTACCTGTGCCTCTACACGAGTCAAGCTTTTTACTCGCTTACCTACCACCCATCATCTTTTTCTGGCATGATGCTCTATAACCCATAATGCATCTGTTAGCGTTGGTGGTATAGTGGTGAGCATAACTGCCTTCCATAATGCATCTGTTGTGACGGGCTTAACAAGGTCACTTCCTTAGGTCCTACCACACAGCACTCCTGATCAGGAAGTGGGCACTGACAGAATGCCCACATCACAGACTTTATCCCAACAGCAACCCTCTTTTCCTTTCTGATCCAGAGTATGTGCTGTTATTTGGACATTATGTCCCTTAGGCATCATCTCCTTCCATTTGGAACAGATCCTCATTCCTTCTTGTCTTGTATGGGCTTGACAGTTCTAAAGCACGCAGGCCAGTTCCTGTGTAGACGATGCTCACCTGTCTGTACTGTTTCCCCGTGGCCACACGCATGCTGTGCATTCTAAACAGGATTCCCACCCTGTCCTAATGGGGCATGTGAAGCTTGATCACCTGGTCCAGTTGATCTCTGCCAACGTGGTGTTGTGTTACCCACCGATATTACTTCTCCTCATCAACTCTGGCATGCACTAAAGACTCCAGCCTGCACCAGCTACCTCAATGAGAGCCTACATCTTCTGGAAAATATACAACTGAATTTGGCCAAGGCAGCACACACAGACAGAAATGTAGTTGGCACTCATGTCTTCCCACAACAGAATCCTTGAGTTTTCCATGATGTCTGCTCCTTTTCCTTTAGTCTCATCCTTTGCTTCTGCTGGTTCCCAAAGTCCTGCCCCCACCCCCTTCCTTCTGGGAACTGATGTGACAGGCTGTGACAGGAAGATACGAAAAGAGAAGAATGCAATCCAGTTGGAATACCTGGAGCCAGGTAAGACTGTTGTTATCCTAAGAGTAACCTCTATCTATGAGTGTCCTACTGTGTGCCACAGTCCGGGCCCTGGGCTCTGGATGCTTCTTCTAAATGTACCTTCATCGATGTCAGGGGGCAGTCCGCCCACAAACACCTTGCGAGAATAGCGCTCCACTCTTTCTCCGTTCTGGTGAGTGAAGCAGTGAGGCGAGCCCAGGCCACTGTGAAGAGGCTGATCCCCGCGGCCGTCATCCAAAAATCCATCTTCCATTGGAAACAGTGAAGACTGACCTGGAACAGAAAGCAGGAGACAGCTGACAGAGAATGTCCGCGGCCGCCAGTTATCTCCACAACCAACAAGGCCAGCAGCTGATTCAATAAAGCTGCGGCTTTTCGTTTTCCCACTGAACAACCAATAGCGCCACTGTGATCTGCTCTTGAACTCCCAACACCTCCAAGTCCCCACTGAGTCAGAGAGAAAGGACAGGTTAAATAGAGGGCTGCCAGTTATCCCTCTAGGGTCCAGAAACTCCAGTGGGGCGGGCGGAAGCACAGAAGGAGAGAGCGCTCCTCTGAAAGCAGTTGGCAGCACACAGCAGAGCCTTGGCAGGGCCCCATGCCACTGGCAACCTAGACATGTGCCCTGAGTGTTAGATTCGACTGTCAGATGCTACATCACTCAAACTTGAAAGAAAACAATAAGATGGCCTGCACAACTCCTCTAAGAATGTCCTTACAATGGACGTGTTGATTTTTAAGGTGAGCGCTCATCTTAGTTACATTAACTACTGGGATACAACTAAACCCATTAAATGCTATTCTCTGACTCCCCTGTCTGGTCTAAGAGAATTTAAGATTTTGAGGCATGCTAAAGACATACGTTCTTTCAGTTGAGTAATAATCTGCTACAGTGCTATCTAATTCTAAAAACTAGTCATTAAGTTTGATGTTGAACGTTAAATCATCTAAAATGCATAAGCAGAAAAGACCAGGGATGGCAAGTGTTTGTATTCTTCCCATATTGACCTGACAGCAAAATTCAAACTTTGAAATCATGAGCAAAACACAGCTACAAGGGCCTGCGGAATCCCCCAGCCCTGGCCACGCTCAGGCTGCCAGTCATGGGCAGGTCCTGCACGAGGAACTCGTTAACGGTCCCGCAGAAATGCTCTCAAGTGCTCTTCCTTCTCAAAAACATTCCCATGGCCTTTGGCTGCCACACTTCTCCTCCTTCCAACCTTCACCACTGAACACAATAATGACAGTGTATTGTTATCCTGTAAAACCACAGCTCAAAGATTTCTATAATGGAGGCTAAAAAATGACTAAAAAATTGGAGGCTGTTTCCTGAACGATCTTCAAAAATCACATTTTGAAGTGGAGCTGACTCTAAAATTCTCTAAAATTTCTAGAGCTTTCCCCAGTGTTTCAAATGCATAGGATTAGCTATTTATATAGCTAATCTCCTTTCAAACCCAATGCGTTTTTGCTGACTTGGTTAAGCAAAAGTAGACCAGGTATTCAAATATAATTGAACTTCTAATATGCTCAGGTATTTTGAGATGATTTGGGCTGTATTTTCCTTTTTAAAGAGTCTTAACTTTTTTCTCCTTAGAGATTCCTTTTAGAAAGAAAAAAAAAGAAAACAAATCTTTAGATGTAAATAAGTTGAGTTTATAATATAATATAGGGAAATTATTTTTGGTTCAAATCTAAATTCTACCATTTTGACTCCTTAAAAATGAGAATGTCTATAATGTTAACTACAATGAATAATGTATGAATCAAGCCTCGGCTTCATTCCCCCGCCCACTGCCCCATGAGGTTAGAAATGAGCAGACTTGGACCCTCTCCAGAGACAAGTGTACATTCAGAAGTTAGAAACAGTATGTTACCTCTCCTTCTCCCATATGTCCTTGCTGCATGTCAATGAGAAAAAAAAACACACAACCTTTCAAACATTGATCAACTGTGATTTCATCTACGAGCGTTATAATTGAAAAAGATTGGCTATATATAATTTTGTCTCAAAAACAAAGGATCTGGAGAGTGAGAGATCAATCTTACATTTTATTAAGTTCTTCAAGGACACTTGTGTTAAGGGAAACTTTTTGTTGTAACTGTCACTCAAGGTCCAAACTAGTATGAAACTAAAGGAGTATGTCACGTGATCTAAACCAACTGCCATATTAATCTTCTTTTCTCTCAAAATTCCTTGCTAACAAGCGATTTAATGAATACCACAAAATTTAATTCTTGGCTATTTCACCATGACAGGAGAAATAGCAATTGCATACTACTCTTAATTAATCCCTAATAAAAAATATCATAATGAATGAAATCTTTAGGCAATTTATAAACTTCCTTTTGGTCAAATGTTTCTTGACCCTAATCAAATCTTCCACTATGCCTCAAATGTTGAAAAGTACAAAGTTTGGCCCTAACTGGCATGGCTCAGTGGATAGAGAGCATCAGCCTGCGGACTGAAAGGTCCCAGGTTATATTCTGGTCAAGGGCATGTACCTTGGTTGCAGGCACATCCCCAGTAGGGGCTGTGCAGGAGGCAGCTGATCGATGTTTCTCTCTCATTGATGTTTCTAACTCTCTATCCCTTTCCCTTCCCTGTAAAAAAAATCAATAAAATATATTTTTTAAAAGTATAAAGTTTGGCATTTTATCAACAAGCAGGCGGCAGCCAAGAAGAGCCATATATTCATATAATTATATTTATTTCCCTGAATACTCAGGTAATGGCAAAATGAACCTTAAATCAGAAAACTTTTGAGAAAATGCCTTCCCTGAAAAAAAAAAACTGGCATTTATAAGCCCAGCCTGTATAAATGCCTCAGTTTTATTCAACAAATGTTTCTTGAATGCTCACATTGCTGGACACTGAGGTAAGCACACCCAGCCCTGACTCCATGGCCACGTAAGTAAACACCGAGAATATCATGTGCCTATTTGCTATGGTAGATAGGTGACAGGTGGAATGGGAACAAACCAGGGAGGAACAATTGTTGTTTTTTAATCCTCCCCGAGGATATTTTTCCATTGATTTTTAGAGAGAGTGGGAGAGGGAAAGACAGAGAGAAACACTTTGATTGATTGCCTCCTGCACATGCCTCAATGAGGGCCTGGGCTGGGGAGGAGTCTGCAACCGAGGTATGTAGCCTTGACCGGAATTGAACCTGTAACCCCTTCGGTCCACAGGCCGATGCTCTAACCACTGAGCCAGACTGGCTATGGCGAAAATTTGTCTTGGTTTCAGGGGCAGAGAGAGGAGTGAACAGCATTAGAGATGGACCTTACAAGAAAATCAGAGCAAGGCATTGCAGGGCAGTGGTGGTGCAGACAGGGTGCTGCGATGCTCAGGGAAGACGCCCAGAATAAAAGCAGATTGCTGAGCAAGGGGGGTCTGGGCTGGAGATGAGGTTCACACAGGAGGAAGCGGACAGCTCAGTTATAACTGAGTGAGAAGTGTAACTCAGAGGTGCCACATGCATCTTCCCCAAAATGAAATTATCGATATGTCTTAAGCAAAATACATTTCTACCATTACTAGAAAACACCGGATTACACCAAAGTACTTGGGCAAATGACTAAAAAACAGCATAAAATCTCTCTCTGCGGTGAGGTTGTCCTTTACAAGGCCTTGTTTGGAGAAGGGGAAGGTAGTCTTTTACTTTGTCAGCCTGACGGAGGTCGGAAAGACAGACAGCACAAAAGCAGATGCCTGTCCAAAAACATCCTATTCATACAACTAACTGCATGGGCGTTTGGGGAAACTAATGATTTGAAAACTTGGCTTCTGTTCATCTCAAAAAGTTAACTGGTGCTGCTTGGATTTCTGAGAAAATATATTTGAAAAGAATAGACTTTTAAAAGCTACAAAACTAACATTAAAATCTCATAGCTTCCATTATTTAAAAAATAAATATAGTTTCAGGAACAATAAAGCTACAGATCAAAAGCAAATTCTAACACTCAAAGTGTTCAAACGGCACTTTTTGTACCACAAAATTAAGCTGCTTGAATGCTGATATTAAATCCTGAAAACTAGTTAGAAACATTTCCCCACATTACGGGAAAATACGTTATTGGCATACAATGTTTATAATTAGAATAACAACTGTCCATTCAAATAGGGAAATGAATATAAATGAGTACCAAAATAATAAAAACAATGTCATTCCAGAAAACAGAAAATGAATATGTTTAAATGTCTGAGTTCTACTTTTAATGCTGTTAACACTATACGCTATTTTTAATGTACATGTTGACATGTGACATACATAGGGGAACACACGTGCAAAAATCACAAATGTCCAGATCAATAAGATTTCTATAACGTGAACACACGTGTGCAACCAGAACCCAGACAGGACAGGATGGACAATGTGTGACTTCACCTCATGGAGGAAAGACGCATGCAGCACCTGTTCCTCACCAGCTGCAAAGCGGACTGGACATTACGATGAAATACTTGTAACAGGCAGATCCTCACACTTTCCTGAGGAACCTGTCTTGCCAGACAGATTTCCAATCTCATGATTATCAAGTGTTGCATATTTTTGATGCTTCTCAAACATCCAAGGAAGTAGCAAGTAAAAAAATTACTTTAAATATGTTTAAGAGTACACTATTAAAAGATTTAAAAAATGCATGCTATTATTAAATAAAAATCTTCTAGTCCCCACCGGGTTTAAAAGGAATACCATTTGTATGTTTATCTACTTTGATTTTCATTTCTTAGTTTTGATTTATAAAGTCCTCAATAATTTAATGTTTAGTACTAACATGATTCAAGAATGTTCTAAATGGTGCGGTGAAGGCAATGGTGAGCCCTATTCCAATATGTATGTAAGATATTAGGACACAGACCAGCACAGAGGAAAGTCATGCAAACATAGAGAGAAGACAGCTGTCTACCAGCCAAGGAAAGAGGCCTCAAAAGAAATAGACTCAGACTTCCAGGCTGTGGTGCTGAGAAGAAATTCCTGCGTAAGCCTGGTACTTGTTAAGGCGGCTCTGGCAAACTAATATGTATCCAAAAAGTAGCTAGAAAACGTGTATTTTTTTAATATATATATTTAGAACCCAAGGATTCCCCCTCAAAAAAAAATCTCTATAACGAATAACCCAGCAATACAATGAATACTCCCCTAGGATGTGCACTACAGCATTCTTTGCACAGTTATCAATTATTATTTGTTGAATGATACTGGCAATACCTTTAAGAGACATGGGTAGTATATAAAGGCCACTGCATAGTGTGAAAATGGATGAACTGA